GTTCCAACAGCGGCTCTGGAGAGCAACGGAGAGGTGTAAATCACACACAGTGAGCACTGGTGCAAGCAGGCAAGAAAGAGACAGCCAAAAAATCCCTCCGCATCTGTTCAGACTCAAATACAGAGTATGGCAGAGAAAGCACAATCTTTTATTTAAAAAAAAAGTGCAATAATTGCAAAGAATGCAAATCTAATTATGGGTAAAACTACATTGCAGAGCTATTTGTTTTGCAAATTAAAAAAATTCAAATATAATTTTTATATATAAAAATTATAGGCCTATATGATCATTTTAAATATATATTTTTCATTTATAGAATATATATTATATAGATATATCATATTTTAAAAAGTATAGTATAAATGAAAGACTACATTTTTATAATATTACTTTTTTTACATATTTAATATAACTATTTGTTTCAGAGTGAACTACTCTGCAGAACAGATGACTTTAATCTACAATACAAAAAAAACGCACAATGCAAAGTATTCCTGAATATTGGGATATTCGGACATAGCCAAAGAATGTAATCAAGCATCAGGCTTGTGACAAAAATCAAATCCGGCGAACAAATGTGTGACTAGAAAAACACAGGCACAGTAGTGGAGAAGCAGAGGTAGATTTAGAGATCTTTTAAATAAACAGTCCGCTGCACCCTGCCACGCCAGCACTGCTCTTCTTGATCGCCTTCCAGTTGGAAACATTTCTTAAAGCCTTCCCAGCAGAGCCGACTCTGCCAAGAGCGGAGGTTCTTCTCAAAATGACCTACTACTGTGACTTCAAACCCTAGGGCAGAAGACAAAACTCTCTCCCTGCTGGAGACAAAGCAGCAGATCTGCCAGCATCTGAACCCGTACAGAAAATATAAAGAATAGATTTAAATTGAGATTTATCTGCAGAGCTAAAAAAAAGAAAATGTTTTCCTGTCAGGTAACAGCATTCTGAATGACTCGAAACATGACTTATAAGATCTCTTCCAACACAGAAGTACTTGCGGAGCGGAATAAAACGTATTTTGTCTTTGCACGGTTGATTAAGCTATTCCAGAAGTCTGAGCTGTTTTTTGTAAGGCTCATTTAAAAAAACGAGACTCCAGAGGGTGATTCAGGCACTCGTTGGACCAAATCTCATCTAGAAAACAACAAAAATAAACTTCTTTTCTGCTGCAATACACTGGCATGGATGAGAGAGCGAGGCTGCGGGCTCAGGTGGAATCCAAACACATCTTCATAGAGTAAATATTTAGGGTTGCTCACCATTCTCCCCGCAGAGGAACCTGGGTGTGATATGAAACGCAGCCAACCTTCCACAGACATCTCCAGCTCTGGCCACATGAAGTCCTCTACTCATGCCAAGAGCTCGGGCCTTTATAACTGAGGCTACTCTTTGTGCCCGACTCCCCTCCTCTCCTCTCCTCTCCCCTCCCCTCCCCTAAAAATCTCCTCGGTGTCCTCTAATGAATATCAGCCACTAGGATCAACACATGAAAGCTAATGCTCCACTTAAGATTCTGACCCTTTTTTCTAAAACGCTCCCTGACACAAATAAGCAGCCGAATGTCTAAAAAAGTTGCCATAAATGCAGGCCGGATGGTAAGCGAGGAAGAGCGGGTGATCAAAACAGTTTAATTAATCTGTTAACGGGCACATTGGGAGCTGCCGCACTGGGACGCGACCATGACTGTGCCACTCAGGGCTGTCAGACGAAAGTGGGGCATGCATTTCTGAGCCGAGCGAAAGAGCAAACACTCTCCTGACGAAAAAAAAACCCTCAGGCGGGCAGGCATGCACACACACACACACACACACACACACACGGACAGAGAGGACCAGTGGATTACACCACGGGGGTGTTCTGGGGCATTTGAGAGCCCAAAAACGACACTTCAAACACAAAGTGCCCGACCATGGAAAGGGGTGGAAAACATTTCAGTGCTCATTAAATCAGATCCTGGTAAGACTGGCTTTCCATGCACATGTAACAAGGAATGATAAGCAAAACTTATATACTGATATGAATTGTGAAAATAAATAACAGACCATTTAGAGAACAAAACGTTTATGAGAGTCATTTCAAGCCCAAATAGAAGAAAAAGGCTCTCCGTTCTGGAATATTTTGCACGGAAATAATAAAACTAAAATGCAACGCAGAGCAAGTCTTATTATCAGCACATTTTCAGATGTATAGTATTTTGTCAGTCAGCGCAGTCAAGTGAGAGTGTCTCAGAGAGGCTCGGCGCTTTGATCGGCCCTCCTCTTCTTTCCCGGGGGGGACTAATTGCGGCTCTAAAGGAATGAATCGATGAGGAATGGGGGCAGGACAGCATGTTGCCAGCTCAGGGGAATAGAGCCTCTCGGATCTCCCACTGATACTACTCTACACTGTAGGCAAATACGCTCCAAACTGGGTCTGTCCAAACTAAATACAAATATAGAAATAGGCTCAACACTCTTTAGTTTTAGTCATTTACACTTAAACAATTAGCATTTCCTTCATGCACTGAACTGTGACCTACTGACCTTTGTTCAGCCTCACAATGACCTAAAATATGAATATAAAATAATGCAAAAGATTTAAAATTATTATATCTCGAATCGTAAAAGTAAAAACACACTAAAAGTAGCCTACACGTCTATAACGTCCGTCAAAATTTTTTATTTCTTCACCAGATCTTAAGTTTGAGGCGGATGGTGCTTACTGCAGACAGAATTGTTATAACGATAGCATACAGAACAGGTTCGGAGCTTAAAACTTTTTTTGTGAAGTGTCTGTGTGCAACGAAGCTCTGAGCGATAGGCCCCTCTGGCTGCCAGCGGGACTGCGGTGGAGTCTGGCACACGCCTCATCTGTCCCTCTCGCTCTCTCTCAGCCCAACACACTCACTCAGTCTACGGCCAGAACCTCTGTGCACACTGCGCGCTCTCCCTCGAACGCTGCAGGCTGCTATATTACATTATCCTATCAGCAACAACAAAGAGAAAGTGGACATGCCGAGCGGTTACAGAGAAAACCAAGGCCTCCACACTGCTGGCTCTCAATACGACTTACACAAACCGGATCTGTAATGTAGCAGAGATTATTTCAATGCTAAATATTTATTGTAACCTGCAGATCAAATGTGTTTTGTAAGTGTTCAGGTAGAGCAAACTATTTTTTTAACAAGTTTTAAGATTTTACAGCTGTGCATGAGTTTGTAATTCACTAAAACTACATTTAGTAAAGTTACACAACTGCTAAAGTGGATTATGGTTACTTCATGTTTAGACAGAATATAAAGAGTTTGCCAATCCAAAATACTGAAACAAGCGTCTGTCATATAGAATAAAAAAACAGTGAGGACTGAAACATAGCCCCATCTAATTAATTTAATAATAAATTCAAGCGCTGGAGGGTGAGGCGTGTAATTGTATTGTTACCTGTTTGAACACATTCACTAAGAGCTGAAAAGTACAATACATATTTGTGCGACTTAAAAGCCCAAATTCCAATTAAGGTTTCCCAAGCAGTTATTAAAATAAAGTTTGATATGAACTTCAAACCGAATTATACCACAAGATAAACTGTCAACAAAAAGTTAGACCTTTACAAAAGCGGCTGCTATTTACATATTTTCAGTGTCAAATCGACAGGTTTAATGGACTGCCATTATGTCTGTCAGAAAGTATGGCCGTTTTTGCGAATCAAGCATATGGAAAAACTTTCTTCCCGAGCAGAGATCTAAAACTTTTTTTTAAATCTTTCTCATATACAAAGGCTAAACTGCAACAAAGTTCAAGCTGTATTACTTTTACATATTAACTATTATAGTATTATTATTAACATGTACATTTCTAAGTGAAAAGATGGACCATGTATTAACAGGGGAGTGTCCTTGCTAAAAAAACGATCTGAAATTGAAAACAAACCGAAGCAAAATTATTCACTATTGATGCAACTTTCTCATCAAAGCCAAGGTCAAAGCAATCATCAGCCATCTAAAATCAGTGACTCGTGTCAATATACAGTAAGGCAATCTGAGACAGTTAAGTGACCTTAAAACCCCTCTGCCTCAATTCAGACTTCAGACTGCTGACAAAAATACTTTTGAAATACTATCACATGTGCTTAAAGCCTGAGCACTATCACACTGCATAAAATGCTAAACTATTTTCTGAATAGTTATAATAAGTAATACACGATTTAAGCAAATTACAGAAAAGGGGCCGATGTCTGGCAAGGCAATGTTATTCTTTCCAGAATGTTTCAGTTTATCTCTGTTTAAGTGTCTGCTTTGTAAAATTGAGCAGACTAATAAAATACTTCAATAAACATTTTGCTATATCCTAATAATTGCAAACTTAAAAAACTCACAAGACAAGAGCTGAAACCACAGTGATGAAGTCAGATTTGTACAGATATCCTAAATCTCTCTGTAACTCTTAATATTTTGTAAACAATAAATCCATCAAAGTTGTAATAGTCTTTACATAGAATATATACATTATTACATTGTCCTATTATAGGCAAGAACTGGAATAATCTTAAAGTATATATGAGCACATAGGCTAAGTTTATACATTTTGATCCAATCTAGATAAAAATCGACAAAAGTATAATCCATTATATAAATGCATAACCAAATGTTTAACTGTAATAAAAGTTGTATTTTATCTTAACTATGATCATGTAGGCTAACTTTCCCCTCTAGTTTATGATTAAGACTAAAGCAGATGACGATGCACTCAAATGTCTACTATAAAGCATAGGCTATAAACTCCATCTTAAATACAACTATAAACAACGATTCATGTTACCTCGTCCAATTGATGTTTGACTTTGTTAACAGTGTAAAATTCAATAATAGAAAAATTGATCAATTCAATAAACTAATACGCACATGGGTATAGTTCTGTGTTGTATAAAAGAGAAGCACAGTTCTCAGCCCGCCCTTTATCAACCGAAATCTCGTCGCGCGTTCAGGAGCAATTCGTTCAGAAAGAGACAAATAAGCACTTTACCTGAGTTAGACAGAGAGGAGAATACATCATGTTGAAAGGTGAGCGCGTGACTTGAAAATGTGGCAAAACACCGACAAGTTAGTGGATCATTTTTCACAGTTAATCATGGTAAGCCTCATCATGATTAACACTTCCACCGCCGCCACTTCTGACTTCCACTTAGAGTCCGTTAAATCAAGGGACGCCAGGCAAAAGAGAACGCGCAAACTGTGTACACGTTTGAAACCAAACTTTGCAGGCAGGAAAACGCGTGGGGTGCTGCAATCTGTTCCATTTAGGAAATGGTGGGAGAAAGAATCAAAGAAAGAGACAATGTTTTCAACAGAGGGAGGAATGAAATGACGTTATGAAAATAGCCCATCCCAAAGAAAGTACTTGAAGGAGCAAGAGAGGCTAACTCTGGTTTCCACTGTCCAGGGGCATCCGTTAAGTCCGTGAAATTAACAAAAAAAACGTTATTTGCCTCGGTTTCTGAAGCTCATATGGTGCGTAACAAACTGGCAAACGACTTTCTCCCCTTTTCACCAATGCGCACGCACCGCTCTCCCCTCTCGCGCTGATCCAGTTCGGGCGCAGCAATGCTCTGCGCGCTTCACCCGCGCGCGTATTCCAAACACTTTTACTGCAACACGCACCAGCTAAAGTAGCGATTAGAGCCAGGCTCGCGCGGACATTGCGTCACAGAGAGCGCACATGCATGCATCCATTCATGACAAAGTGTTCGAGGCGTATCGCTTCATGTGAGTGGAGTGGATTAAAAAAAATGTACACCCCGCGTAAAATAGCCTACTATTGGCAGTGTCTGATAAGGCAAGTTAGCTTTACACATAGAAGAAAGCTGTCTTAATTTACTGAAACGAGTCTACTTATGAATAGTAATAAAAGATCATGCGCGCGATTCTAAATTCACTTCATTTAGCCTATGTTCCCTGGTAATGCATATTTTGATTATCACAAACTTTTATAAAGCCACTGCAAGAAAAATAACTCAGCCCGATATCTATAATAACTAACTCTACAAGTAGCTAATAATCACTCGATAGATACCCACACCAAGGACTTTGAACGTGTTCTTTTGGAGTTTGCTTCTTTGTAGAAATCAGGTTTAACTTTGTTGGAGTGATCACACGGAGATCAAATAAACTAGGCTAGGCGTCAGTTGACTTAAATTCAAGTGTAAAACCAGGCAGGCTATTAAAACAAACAGGGCAAATAACAACTGTTAATTCTTTAGAATTTGCACTGAAAAAAGTGTGCACTAGTTGTGAGCAACGACCGAGAGCTGACCATCAATCACACTGCTGAAACCCCGACGCCTCAAAACATTATAATTGTGCATAATTAGAAAACAGTCTGTTCATAAGAATAATTCTTTATCCTTAAAACTATTCTGAAACTGCCACATATTATTATTCAATCTCGATCAATAGAATATTATATTTTTTTAAAGAGAAAGAATAGATTTGAGTAGGTAGTACAACATGAAAATATAGCCCTAAATATAAAACAATTATGAAAGGCTGAATTATTAGGCTACTGTAAACAGACAATGTTATTACCTAACCCAAAAGCTGAAGGAGAAAGAAAGACGTTTACTTCCTGAAAGTACAACATAAACTGAAAATATCCCCCAGAGAGCAAATAACTAGCCTATATTTTAGGATTATATTTGTTGTTAATATAGCCTATATGCACAAATTAACAGGTAACAGTCGTGACTAAGATAGCTATTAAGTCTGTTGTTGAATGTCTTCCCTTAAAGGGAAAGTCTACCTTACAAAAAACTACTGTACCATAGCCTATTTTAAAAGATGTCATACAATTGTACTTTGATATATAAGCCTAAACAACTGAAATTCATGTAGCATATTTGTAGCAAATATTGCATATTTGCATAATCAATTACTTGCAAGCATGGTAGCCTATGCCTGAAAACATGGAACTAACGTTACAACATAGCACTTGTAAAAGTGTATCAAACTAAATGTTACTATTCTGTAAACAATCAACCCGGGTCAAATCAATTTTTGGTTAAGTTTGCAACTGCCACGCGAACATGACAAGTAACTGCAGTATCTAGCACTTTCTGAAACAATGCCGAACTCCCGGTTGTGACTTCGGCGCACTAACTGAGACTTCTGCCGTGGAGGGAGCGCCTCTGTCGGCGTAGATGTCAAATTCATGCCGGCGAGCCTGCGGCCATTTTCTGCTGTGCAAACTCGAATGCTGGGCATCTGCCTCTACTGGCTTTAAACTTCAACTTGGCCTTCGGTGTCCCGTGGTTAACACACACACGCCCTTTTTTCTTCGGCTGTCACAAAACAAATAACTTTCATTACAGGAGAAAAGCCCAATCGCAGGGTAGCTAATGTTATCTTAACCATTGCACGTCTCAATAGAGAAAATAACGCGCCAGCATTTTAAGCCTTTCCCACAAAACCTTGTTTGGCCGAAAACCAACGAGAAAAGGAGTAACCGGCTGGAGAGGAAGCAGAGGGAAAACCGAAATACGGCGCCTGTGTGTTGATGATGATCTTATTTGACTTTAAGAGTGCACAACTCGTGATCTCCCTCGTCTTTTGGAGCAACGACATAATAATGATGAAACTGATTTGTTAACGTACCATTTCGAAGCGAAACTGCCAACCTCCCCCCAAAAAAAGTTACAGCTTCGAGGTTTTCGTAGTTCTGCAGTTCAACGCTTGGTCATCTCGTCGGGTGCTTTTATAACTCCGTATCCATTTATCTTCGCAAAGAAGTAATCCGTGCTCTTCGGATGGGAGAAATAAACCCGGACACTGGCCAAATAGAAAACGTCCCACGCGAAGTCTTCTAGCCTCGTCCAAACGGAAATCCTCGTTATAATGTACAGAAGGACAAAATAAGGGATTTACAGTAATGCACGGCTTGCTGCAGAGTGCACTGGCTGAAGGTGCTGGCTGTTGTTTTGGTCGTGTATCTTTAATTTACAGTGCTGAATCGTCGGTCTTATAGCGTTGCAGCATTGCACATGCAGCACGCATAGATGTCCTTGTGTATAGAGAGGAATCAATGTTCTTTTGTTTCTTACAACACGAATGGCAACACAGACGCTGTTCTGAGCTCCATACACACATCTTACGGTCCTCGCGGAGAAGGAATTGATGAAATACGGGGGTGGCGTGAGTGTGTGTGTCAGTGTGTGTTTGTGTGTGTGTGTGTGTGTGTGTGTGTGTGTGCAGTGGAGCAACTCGCTTAGAAGAACTGCACTTGATGGCGTAGTTTATGTGTAGGCTTATAGGCTACTTTATTTATGGGTCAATGGCGTGACAATTTTTGTCATAAGTTATTCCGAAATATATTATAATGTAATGCACGAAATGACTGCAATACATTCATCAATGCATACATTATGAGAACGCATGTCTCCAAATTCTGTTCAGGTCAAATTGAGTAGGCTAATTTTAAAAAAGAAAAAGAAAAAAGGCTACTGTGGAGATGCATGACCGAAAAAATGAATTACATTTGTAAAGTAAACACATAAAGAAAAACCTTAAAAATGTTTGGGGGAAAAAACATCCTAAGTTAATTATAACTAAATTATATATACACTCAAGTGTAGGCTATAGGTTCAAGTTGGCTAGAAGGCCTCTTTTTACTTGATGGTTTAAAAAATGTGAACCTTTTGTAAAAATAGCTTATAAGCTAATAGCTTAAATAAAATAAAATAATACATATGGCCTAACTTAATACATTTTATAACAGATATCCTTATTTATAATTGGACACATGGTGCAAGGCTTAGAATGTAAAACCAGTCATGACAGAACAAACACAAAGTGCTCAAATAACTTCAAAAACTGATTGTAGAGTTGTGCCCATCCTGTCGCCAAGATAAACAATAGCCCTATCAATAAAAAAAATTGTTTTATGTGGACATATCTTTGGACGTGTGTGTCTAACTTTATACGAAAAAGAACAAAATCATTATTCTCAAATGTATTTGCTTTGAACGAGTTAAAATAAACAAGGTTCACTACAACCTTTGTCATGGTACCATATTGCCAGTATCCCTTGAAATTGCGTTTTAAGACAGTGCAATTGAAGGGTCCTTTAGTGACTCTTCCTCCCATCTCAAAGGGTTACACAAGACACCTTGGGCATTTAGAGCATAAATAAACTAAAAGACAGGTAGGCCTAGGAAAAAATTACTGGTCTTTTATATGTAGCCTAATGTACGATTTAGGCTTGCATGCAGAAATAAAATGATAAGCTTGTCATTCTTGGCTCCGGTCGATAGTGTCCGATGAGGAACTCGAGAGGTTAAACATTTGGCTTTAGAGTTCAGGGAGCTGTAGCAGCTTTTTCCAAGGAAGAAGAAAAGCAAGGCTGAAACTTCGACAACGTTGAATGCACTATTAAAGGTTTACTCTTTGAGCACTACACAGGTGGGCCACACTTTGTGAAAAAGCACATAGGCGAAAAACCGCGAGTTCGTTAAACCTCTATGCCAGCAAAGTATTTACTTATCCTTCCCGTCATTTGGCAGGCTTTTTTGAGAAATAGTGGGTCAATATGAAAGTATTGGTCAGTAACTATCAATGTTTATGTGTCTTTATTAAAATAATATGATTAAAAAGGACATTTATTTAGGCTACTTGTTATATTTTGAAAGACGCGATTTTTTAATGCTATTATTTGCCCATATTAATATTCTGAAGCATAATTTACTAAAATGAAGAATAAAGCTTCATTTGTATAACTTTCCTATAGGCGCAAACTTTCAAACCCACATAAATTCAGATATGAAAACAACAAATATCTAATGAGATAACGTATAGCCTAATTTTAACTTCAAGCGTTTATTTGCAGGCTATACTATTTTAACAAGTTAAATAGTAGGCAGCATATGGTATAATTTCCTATGCTGTTACCATACTTATTTATTACACTTTATTTTACTTTTAGCCTACTTATTCCTTAACTGAAATAGCATTTTAGCCGCATGACTGGAACTATAAATAAATAAACTTAAATATGCTATATGCTACTTATATAAGCTCTGTTAAATTGAACATGTTAAAAGTGAGCTATTTTAAAGAATCTAAATACGTTTTTTCCTTTTAAAACAAGACTCCAAAATCCACATGTTCTCGTGTATTTGTTGGCAACTTTGAATGCATTCGCGTATTTTGGGTCGCTTCATTCCCCATGCGCTTTTGTTTCACCCACAAAACTTCTGATAAAAAAAAAAAAAACAAAAAAAAAACCTTCTGCTCCACTCTATGAAAACAAACAGACTTTGTCTTAAATTTTTTTACTTTGTTTATAGATCTAAATTACATTTTGGCTAACTGAAAAACATTTCGTGCTGATCTCCCGATGACTAGGTTTACAGTCTTATTTGTAGGCAAGCACGCACGCAATGCAATAGGCTATGCTGTTATACTATAGAGCACTTAATTTCTAGTTCTAACTTTATAAAGTATAACAAACACACATCCCACACACAAAATATTAAAGTAAAAAACAAAACAAAAAACTTGCTGACACACAAATTGACTATTCATTTTTTACAGTCATGAAAGCACCTGAAAGAGAAAGGACAGGCATTTAATCCTTTAATCCATTTAAGAAGAGTGTAACAAAGCATATGACCAGCACCACAGCAGGGCAGATACCAGGTTTGCTGGAAACTGCCCACAGGTGCAAAATCATCTCTTCAAAGTGATCATGTTTTAGGTAA